CTGAGTCGCGTTTAAAGTTTCTATTGACTCTACTATCTACAATAAACTTTTTTTTAATGTGCTTTTAAGCGCATTGTATAAGAACTGTGGCTTCGTGCACCTGTGTTCGCTGTCCTCGTGCAGATTGAAGACTTCATTCTCGCGGCGGGATTCACCACGTACAATACAAATGACAGAACTGATACGCATAAATGTCAGATGGGCATTGTTATTAAACTTTATTAACTGTTGAGCGCCGCGAACTGACCATACGTTTACTTACATACTGCGGAAGATCGCTTAGGTTGCAAGAAGTTGATTTTGTTCTTACGGCACTCCAAAATGTGATTGGTTCACAGGCCATTATTGGGAGCAGGTACTACGTATATCCCGTTTTATGGCCCTTTAGCTTTACAACTTTTTTTAGGAACCGTCACGTTGTTTGGACTGACTATAGTCAGTCCTAACCGGCCACAGCGTATACGCATCGTTCCCGCCGCGGCCGTTTTTTATTTTTAGATTAATTCAGTGTTTGCTACGAAGTCCAGGGGTATCTACACTTTTTTATTTTATTTACTTGCATGTTTTAAAACCAATGATGACTTCAGTGTGGCAGGAGGCGACATGAGCTCTGACAGCTCTTTCAGCAACTACTAAGCGGTAACTCGTAAATTTTGTTAATTTGTTTTCCCGGTTAGTGATGTGAAATTGGTTGACCATAACGCAACTTTTTTTTTCTCTATGTCAAGATTATTTTAGTATAAATACCTTATCATGTGTAGAAAAATGAGCTTTATCCCTATGAAGTAATAGGCACACCGTTTAGTATACTTAAATGTTAATCTGGAGGTAAGGTATCTCGAAATATTTAATACAATGAGCTGTTAAAAAAAACTGCAACTCCTGGCAAGGTAAGGTATCTCGAAATATTTAATAAAGTGAGCTGCAAAGAAAAAAGAAACTGCAACTCCTGGCAAGGTAACGTTAAAATAATTTTTATGCCAGATGTGCTGGAGCATCGCGCTTCCTACCAAGGAGTCCTCGAGAGACAAGTGAAGCTTAATCGAAACTCATTCGCTTGAAACAAGTTTGGAAACAAAATTAACCTATCACGTATAGTCTCTTTTAGCTTAGGAAGCACCGCAGCGTTGTCTGTAAGCATGAGGTCCCTGCTCAAAATCGCATATATATGGCGTGCGCGAGCTCTCGCCCAAAAAAGAAAAACTACCAACAATATAAGGTGGGCTTTTTGTCCTCACGGCAAAACATGCGACATAAAGAATAAAAAATACTATCATAGGTGTATTATGGCGATGGAAAGTAAGGATGCATTTGGTCCCAAGCGAGCACGACATTACCGTTCAGGGTGCCGATAGCAAAGTTCTCCCTTTCCGCGCTGCGGCCTCCCTGGAGTTTTGGGCATCGTTCTTTTTGCGTAGACAGCTACCTCCAGCCGACGTAATAACTAGATTAAGGAAATTTTCAAATGAGAGTAGCAGCCTCGCCTCGCTCGCCTCCCCCACTCCCTTCTTTAACTCGGTTCTCTCAGCAGGAAGCTTCGTAACCTCGTGTACACTCAGGCGGCCTTTCCGGTAGCTAAGGCCTCAAGGAAGGAAACAGCGGACTTCAAAATCTACCCTTCTCATTCCGAACCGTCCCCTCCTCCTTCGCGCAGTTTAGGCTGTCGGAATTTTTTTTCTGGGCAACGCGGCGGCGAGAGGCGAGCAAGCGTGCCGGCGTGTCTCCCCTCCCCACCACCCCGGAAACCGGCTTCGCCCGCGCGCTCTAATTATTTAAGAAGCGCTCGCTCTCCGGCTCCCACTGGAGAGCGGCTCGTGCTCGCGGTGAGCGAAACCGGGCCCGTAAACTTCCTTTCCCCGCGAGGCCTGCACGCGTCAGCTCCTCGCCGGAGAAAAGAGGACACGGCTAACTTCGTTACTTAACGCGAGGGGTGAGCACGGGAACAACGCGGGTTAGAAAGCCCGAACTTCCTTCCTGGTGCCGATCCAGGAATTCAAGGGGCTTTCCTCTTTTTTTTTTCGCTTCTTTGTTGTCTTCCGTTCTTGTATTTGTAATTATCTAGGGAAAAAGGCGAGGCAACTGACCGACCATTATTCAAGATGAAGTTAGAGCACTGCACGTGCCCACTTTCTGGGGCCCGACCCGGCCCGGGCCCGCTGACTCGCAGTCTTACCCGACCCCATGACCCAGCCCGATGGGATGCCTATCTTATCAGGCCCGACTCAGGCCCGGCCCGATGTGATGCCTACATTATCAGGCCTGACTCAGGCCCGGTCTATGGAATCAGGCCCGACCCGGGTCTGGCCCGGCTGATGGTGCCTCGACTGGGGGAGATGAAGGACATCTTGACCAAACGAGAGGTCGAGGCGTGCCTCATCTGCCGAATCCGAAGTAGCCCTGGGAAAGTGTTGGTGAATTCGATCTGCTCAGGAAAAACCGCGGCTACATCGCTCCTGACATAGGCATTCGGGTTGGCTCGGGCCTTGCTGAGCTCTAGCTGGACTTGTGGAACTGAAGATGTGTATTCTTTCCTCCGGTCGGAACAAATTTTAACTAACGGCGACCGGTTTCTTTTCGTTGGTGGAGAAACGTCTCTAGTGATTGAGAGTGGGGAACCAGCGTCCCATACCGTTGCGTAAAATAAGATTTTCCGAAAACAAAATCAAACACAGTTATGAATAACGTGCATTGTGACCATAATTCTTCTCTACAGCAATATCTTTAAGAGCCTTAATTTGCTGATCAGTAAGAAGTGAATATTCTACTGTGTCATGTGATAGCGCCGTCAAGTGCCGGGGTCGCTACAATTCTTAACGAAAGTATAATAGCGTTATAGAAAGAAACAAAACAAAACAAAATGAACCGTTTGTTCAATCTTTACATTTTATAGATTAAGAAAGATTCAATTTGACGAGATAAGCTTAAAGGGGCGGTGCAACGATATTCAACTGGAATGTTTTTATTTTTACTTTACACGAGCTTACTGGTACTAGTGGGACACAAGGATACTCCCACGCAACGCCACTGGCCAAGAAAGTGCTTTGTTGCTGTGTATTTTGAAGGACAAAAGCGAGCGTTTTCATTCAATCTCTCCTTCGCAAAACTTGATGACGTAGCTGGGCGGTCCCAGCACCGCCCAGGGACGGTATTTGAATGCGGCTCATAGATTGGACCCGAGCGTTGCGTGGGGACTCGATTTGGGCTCGTGATAAGCGGTAGCTCGACAAGTGTTCCGGTGATGGCCCGTGTCCAATCGCTGCAATGACGACAATAGCCGAACTATATCTGGAACTCAGAGCGTGTCTTGTGCCTTGCCAACCCCAGCGCGTGGCGATGATCAACATTGGCGGCATATAATCGGTTCTAAATCACGTGGCCGCTTGTTCTGACTGCTCGTTTTTCTTTAATATTTTTCTGCGACTTCGATTGCCTGTGGTGAGAAACGAACAGGTGTTTCACAGGCCATTAACGCCAGGGATTCGTTCTTAGCGGTACTTGCGCAAAGTACGAAAATCGTTGCATTTCCCCTTTAAGAAATGTGCATGATGAAGCTTAACGGTTGATATAATTTAGCTTGAAATAACTCCCCACCCCACAGAAACAAAAACAACATCAAGTGAGGCTGAGATATGTGCCTGCTTGTGCGTAGTACAAAGAAGAAGAAAAAAAGAAAATTTCTCACGAATCACAAAAAAAAAAGAAGAAGTTCTCCCCTTTTTCTGGGGAAATATATCTTCCGATGTTGGAACAGAAAGAACTCTTCTTCGTAATGATCTGCTTCTTTTTTTTTTTTTTTGTCATTCTGATGAAGCTTAGCAGTATCGCACGTCCACAACCATGTCCGTCTGCAATCGAGTGGTTAGGCTCAAGAGTAAGGATTTTTTTAACGAGTATTTTTCACACATCGACGGCAAACAATATTGGTTGAATTTTTGTTTAGTTGAACCCGGGGCCATAACAGCACCATTTATTGCGTTCACAATTTCAAAATCGGTGTATAACGTCCCAGGAGACAGTTCAATATTTAAGCAGTGGGCATTGCAAAAGCTCGGCTTGAGTACCCAATTAACTCGTCCAAAAATTAGGTGCTAATTACGTTGTAGCTTAAGGTGACTGCTGAAAAAATAAAGGGAACTAAGAGAAAGCTTTACAAAAGCTCCATTTTCTCGTCAGTGCCTCGAGGGACAAGGCAGCAATGAAGATAGATTGCTCTCCTTCTCGAGAGTTCTGGTCTTGGACGGGGGTCTTGCGAAGTGTCTTTCATTGTACTTTCGCCAAATAAAAATGTAACCGACTAACGTCGCATTTTTTATGAGCTTCAGTCCGGTGTAGTCGCGAGGCCAGCACTGATGATCGTACGGCACGATAATCGGCTTCCTTGATGAAGTCGCACAGAGTAACCCAACGTCCATGATTGATGATGACGCTGTTAGAAGCGCACTGGGTACATCACGAGCCTTCCAGGAAATGCACTGTCGGAACCCTGCGCGCGCTTTTGTTTTGCTTTTTTTTTTGCGAGTTTGCCAGGTTCTGTCTGGCTGAGATTACTGTTACTTCCTTATAGCCAATAGTAGGTAGCCTTCGATGCGCTCTTTTTTACAAGGGAATGAAAGGCTAGTAAACAAAACAAGGAGAGAAAAAAAAATGGTTTCCTTGTTCTGAATTATTTACGATGCACAATGCATCTACTGGTTTCTGTCCTAGAGGGAATCAAAGTTATTGCATTATCACTATTATTGGTGCCTATTTAATGAATAACAATGGAAAATAAGCGCCCGGTGAACCCAGCCATTCAAGAATATCTTTGTTTTGTAAACGAGAAAACGACAAAAGCGAAGAGAAGAGTCCGCAACCCGCGATTCACAAACCAACATCTTATTATTGAAGTTCCCTTTGCTTATCGATTTTTATCTAATAAAGTAACCCTTTCGTCTTATCGTGTGTTTGACGGTGTATTAATCTAAAGTTCAATGCGTTTTTTTTTTCTTTTTTGACCACAGGATCACGGTTCTCCCGAAAGCTTCCAGTCACTGACCAGCGTGACCATCCGAGTGAAGGACGCAGACGATCAAAATCCGGTCTTTACGCGACAAGTCTACAAGACCAACGTAACTGAGGCTGCTGTGATCACGGTAAGTCTAAAACTATCCATTAATTTTTTTTTTTATTTTAGTTTTGCAATTTCTGCAATTGAAAGAATAAGGGACAGCGCCTTTTGCCAATTCGACCCTTGCTCGGGTCCTTTAATCTCAAATTATTTCTACATTTAAAAATTTTTGGGGACACCATTCATCTAGTATATCATTTCACTTATATTCTACAAATATTTCATGATGACGCCATAATAAATTGCAAAATTGGAGGAATGTTTTCGAAGATGAAAATACGAGTCAGTTATGATTCGAGCAATAGGTGTTTCTTCAATTGTGCGGCTTCGCGTGATTTCTTCTGTTTTTTGTTTTGTTCTTTTGTTTCTGCTTTTTTTTTATTTCAATGAACGAAGGCTTGTCGCACCTACTTTTGATCGAAAGTCGCACAAGGTACGAACATGTGGACTATTGATTGACTGCTCCATTCAGGAAGCTAATACATTTTATAATGCATTTTCTAGTAATAAAGAGACAGTCTAGACGAAAACCCGACTGTACAAAAACTTTCTAGCCGATGTTAAAGTTGTTTACCAATGCACACCCCCAGCCCCAGAGGAAGAAAGCTATACTCCAAAAGTAATGCCCTATAACCGCATGAACTTTAACTTTCTGCGCGCGCGACCGAGTTAGTCGTACGTTACCCCACCAACTGCAATATGAACTGATCCGTTCTGCAAATCCCCAAACTCCACACCTCTTCTCGCGCGTCGGATCAGAAGCGCAGTGAAGGGGAACCACGGCAGAAAGCTTCCATGATCCCCCCCCTCCCTCCCCCCCCCCCCCCCCCGCCCCCTCCAAGAGACACTCCCTTCCGCTTCTCTTCCGCAGCATCGTGCGAGCCGCGCACACTGCCGGAGTTCAGTGGGGGGGAGGCAGAAACCTAATTCCAGTTAATAAAGCACCGTGCGCGTCATCCTCCTAACGTAAACGCATGCAGGCGTACACGCACAAAAGACGTTGGCGTGCTGCACGTTATATACGCACACGTAAGCCCGTTGTGTGCTGGCGCGCGGCACGAACCGCGGCCGAGGATCCCACCCGAAAATAAACGACGTCCTTCTTCAAACCCGCGGCTCTCTCGCAGGGCGCCAGGCTACGAGTGAAGCTTCAGACGGACGCCCCCGTGCACGCCTTCGACCAAGACCTGGGCATCAACGCACCCCTCCGCTACTCAATCATCCACGGTGAGCGTCGGCGACCGCCGTCTTCGTCGACACGAACAGCGTCCTCGCTGCTCCCGTCGTAATTTATCTTTGAACGCGCGCTCACCAAATTTGGCAAAGAAGGGAAAAAAAGAAAAGAAAAACCAATATGGCCGTCGGACTCGCATGGTGGCCTTTCCTTTTCAGCGCCCTGCCGTCTCGTAGTTATGGTCGGCTGGCGATTACAAGCTCCCATTTCCTCCGTGTCACGCCGTCGACGGGGTTTCCTAAGTCGACCGGGCGTGGAAAGCCTTTGTTTTCGTTACAACTGTTGGCTGCGCCGCGCAAAATTGTTTTCGATATTTTTGTGCGCGTATGCCTTAAAAGCAGCTTACGGGACGCCGGGATTTCGGATCCGAGTGTTGGTGTCACTTTGGCGACAGCCGCGTCGGCGTAGGCGCGCTGCAGCGGTGTTGAAACGCCGCTCTGTACGTCGGGCTGTGGTTGATGGAAAGGTTGCGATTCATTTCGCTGCACTAAACCTTTTTGTGAGGAAACAACAACAAAGAAGTTGGACGAAATGGGATCGTTTTATCTTGTTGAAAAGCCCCGGGGTGAATGGACCTTTTTCCGAATAACAATGGAACATAGCTTCAAGCGCATGAACGCGTTTTGGTAGATTATGACCGCCGAAATTACGTTCTTACAGCAAGCTAGCAAAGGTCGCAATAAGATTGCTCGGACTATACACGCAAGCCCATCAAATGGAGGACAATGGAGCAACACGTCCCGTTTCGTATTGAAGAGTGCAAAATTTTCTTCGCCTTTTCCTCTCTGAAAAACGTGCGGTAGTGTCTTCACTAGGTGGACGGGCTGGATGCTTGTATCGCTTTATTTATAGACAGTGGGAATATCTGACTAGCTAAACTTTTTTAATCACTCATTCAACTAATATTTTGTGCAAATAGGTGTATACCTCAGGATCAGCATGTCCTGAGATACCTATGGCACTTTTCGCGAGTTTAAAGAGCTAATCTGCCTGGCTCTCACGTGCGACTCAGAGTCGTGGTTTCACGAAAGTACGCTGCCACCAAGTTCCTTTCAAAAACGGCAGGTCCAGGATTCGTTCTGGTGGTTCTTGGTTCTGTAACTGTAGCAGAGTTTGGAATACCAGTTCCCGTGTTTGTTTTACAGTAGTCTAGCTGATATTTGAACGAATGCTTTGATACCGTACATCCCTCGGCAGAGAACTAGGTCAAATGAAGGAACGAATTCTGTCCATTCTTGGCACATAATCTGCCAAAAATTATTAATCATTTTCGCTTTAGCGATGCCCATATTAAAATTCGGTCTGAAAATTAAAAGTCGGTGGAACGTTCATGTGAACATGTGAGTCTGCATTGGACCATTGAAAGCCACCCGTCTTTGTAATCTTCGTAATAATGAATTGAATAATAGAAATAATCAATTAATTAATCATTCAATCACTTAGTCAGTCATACGATAAATTTTTGTGGGGTGTCCAGGAACAATCTTGTGGTCCTGGTACTGCCACACAGGACATTCACTCACTTAGAGACAAGGATCACACTCCCGTTACTGGGTAAAACATGATGATTATAACTTGACAAAAACACACAAACATCAGAACCAGTGACAGAAAATTAAAAGGTAAATATTTATTTTGAAAGTTATCAATAAATCAATCAATCAATCAATCGACCAGTTTTGGCTGGTGTCCAGGAGCAACCATTTAGTCCTGGTTGTTCCTGGACAACCAAGACTAAATGAAGAAGAGTAATAATACTGTAGCTTTTATTTGCACATGTTCTAGTATCCACTCGGCAGTATCCAGGCTTGGCAGAGACGTTGAACCCTTCGCAAGTGCCCCTGCTGGCCCGCAGCTGAGTGGAATAAAGTCTATAAAAAATTATTATACAATGTATAAAAATATATGCAACCCCCCCCCCCACACACACACACACAACACGCATATACACTCACGCGCACGCACGCACACGCATACACACATACACATTTGCGTACACAAGAACACATGCACGTGCGCGCACATGCAAAACTTGCTGTACATTATGCCATCTCGAGGCGGACAGGAGCAAAGAGAGCTGAAGCAATAACTTGTTTGAAACGCCACGCAACACTGTAACGTAATCGTTGCTGGGTTGACGCGTAATCCGCCTGTTCTTTTCGTGTTTCCCAGGAAACGAACTGGGGATTTTCGAGCTCCAGGAGCAAACAGCCGAACTTTTCATGGTCCGTGAAGTGGATCTGGAATCCCTACCGTCACCGGTGTTCACCCTCCAAGTCCAAGTGAGCACCCGTTTCTTCGTCATCCTTTCTTTCAGTTTAGGACGCGTCCTCAGCTAGTCCTCCTTGATGCGGGATTTAAACTCCTTTAATTAAATCGAGAATCTTCATTTTAAATACGCGTTGGACGTAAACACGAATTCAATATTGACATATACATAAAAAAAAATGTTTTTATTTTATGATGTTTGCTACTTCAAAACGTCTTGGTTTTAATAATATTCCGATCGAGTTTGGTTTATGCTACAAGAAAGGCTTAATAGTTGATATACTATACTCGACCCTTAGCTACCCTTATTTGCGAGTCAGACGTGAAAGCATAGACGCTTTTTAGCGCCTTTACTTGTTCATCAATGTACACTCCGCACCACGGAAGGTCCGCACCACGGAATGTCAGATCGCAGCCGAGGCGATGATCCGATAGAGCCAATCAGGCAGCTTCGAAAGTGCATCGTCACGGCACTGGCCTTCTTCGCGCCCTTGCTCTCGCCGGCTTAACCAGGGGGCTCCAAGTGTTTTTGGCTAAGGGACCGGATTGGGGACCTGTGTCAGTCTTAGGGGCCGGTGAATATTTAATCAATTGGGGAAATATTAAACAAATATGCCTGAATATGCATTTAAATTCAGAAAGGTAAACCAGAGGGATAAAAAAACAACAACAACAAGAAATGTAAAGTGGTTGAATATTCACATTTTAACATGTAAATGTCATATATTTATAATTAGGACATATTACGACATAATGTTACCCCGGAGAACTCACTCACCGTGCATACATCATAGCGCGTAGGAGGAACTTTAGCATAATCGCTCGGGGCAGAAAAATAACGAGAATGATAAATCTGCCGATTAAAATAAACGAGGGTTATGACAGAGGACAGGAAGTCCAATATTCGTGAGAGCACTCAGGAATCGTATCTTATAGTCACGCTTACACGAAGGAGATAACTACGAATAGTAATGCTCGGGATGAGAATGCACAATATTGTGGCGCGAAATTCCGTATTTTGATGCAGCTTTCCTCACATTTGTTTTTCTTATATATTCGTTCGCGCTTGTAATGCGCATCGCGGTGTCAATTTTTTTAATATTTTTTAATACGTGTTGCGTATTCGGCGTGCGGGCCGGGGGCCCCTGGGCCAAACCAATTACGCACTGAGAGCAGAACTGCAAGATAACGATGCATCCACTGCGCGGAATCGACTTCCCCGGTGTCGGTAAGCTCCCAAAGATGACGAGTGCGGTGACGAGTTCCATATTTCCGCTGCTCGATTACGTTCATCGGCCCGTAACGTCGGCTGTATAATAAGCAGTGTTAGGGAACCGTTCTTGCACATACGATACGGTACGGTGGGCCCTCTGGTAGAAACTGCGCATGCGCTACCGGAGAAGCCTCGCACATGCGCAGTTCGTATACCGGAGAGCCCTCCGTACCGTATCGGATGTGCAAATTACGGTTCCCTAAAACTCCCTAATGCCTTGACGGGAAGTATAGTGTCTTGACGTCCATCTGAAGCACGTTCGCTTCCCCGTAATGTTTGCTTTTTTTTATTTTTATTTTTTTTTTTTGCTTAAGATGATATTTGGTCTATCAAATCATGCCATTTCCAGGCGTCGTGAATTTAATTCGTTGTATTGTTCTAGCGCCCCAAGCACTATTCAAATACGTTAAAGTTTTTTTTTTCCTCGTGCGTTTTATTATTTTTTGAAAATCCACTCGCCATTTATATTGCCTGTCGAAAAAAAAAAAAAAAAACAAAGTCTGAATTGAGTGCGAGACATAATTAATCTTGGGCGATCCGACACTCAGCAACAAATGACGCGACTTGCCAAACTTTCCCTTGTGCTACCGTCCAATTTTCTCGAAACAAGGAAATTCCATCAGCAGCGAAATTTCTTTACCGAACGTCTTTGTACTTACGTTTTCGTACAACCAACGCCACGTTTCGGGGTAGCGGGCAAATTCGATTATACATCGAGGAACCTACGTTCGCTCACAAAAATTGAGGCACTTATATATAGTTAGTGCACTACGTTCACGGCCACCTGGGTAGGCACACTTTTAGCCGCGCTTTGGCAAAAGCCAGAAATACATATAATGGCGAAAGAGAAGACAAAAACGAAAAGCGATATAGAAAACCATACAGTATCCGGCCATACTTTTAGGAGAAGACTTGAGACGAGCGAAACATCGCCGACGAGTACCCAAATCCATCACGCCCGACGTCGCGAACATGATAATCAAATATTAAGTAAAAAAGAAAAGGAAGCAGCAGTGATGATGACGGACACGCGTATCCAGCTGAATAACACGCGCCTCGTGACACGGACAGTGTAAAACGAAGAGCAAGGTAAGGTGCCGAGAAGGGTCAACTGTCGGTCTACGATAACATCACTTCTCCGAACAAGCAAACTATCTGATCTATTCCGGACGAGGCAACGGTTTCTTCTCTCTATACGCTGCTTGGAAGAAGTCATTGGTCGGATCAGCAGGGACACGAAGGAAGACGCGGCTGCCGCGCCCCAAAAGGACAGACCGCCTCGCTGTCCGGGCTCAGACGACTGAGCCCCAAGAGCAAGATCTATCGTCCCTTTTCTTTTTCCTTTCTGGCTTGCTGTGTCTGTTTATTGTGGTTGTTTTACATAAGAACTTGGGGTTATTATGTGGTTGTTTTGCATAAGAACTAGACACTTTTGTGATACGTTGAATCTACGCGACGGTTCCGAAGGTGGGGCATGCTCGTTGCAGGGTCAGAAAGATGGCGAGGGGATCTATTTTCTCTTGCAATATATTCGACATAAGTGCCAAGAGGAGGCTATGGCAATGCTTATACAAGCGAACTTTTTTTTTTTTTTTTTTTTTTTTTTATATCCGTAAAAAGAGGGACACTGTGCTCCGTCCACCTCTAAGGTGACAGTAGGATTGTAGCTTAGCGCTCGTCCGACCAATCATCCACCTCTCTTTACACGCCTGGCCCCATTATCTCTATCTGTGTTTGAGTGGGGGCGTGATCACGTGGCGAAGGATAGACCTATGTATAGTCCAACAAGCGCTCATACCTTCTATCGCACTTTCAGCTTATTTTGGAACGGAGTATAACACGGTGCGTTGCACATTGAGCCTAAGTGTTTCCGGTGGAATTAAGTTCAAATGTTAAACTTAATTTTAAAATTCATTGCGCCTTTTTCCAGTTATATTTTTTTTTATGATTTGTTCCTGAAGCACTGGTGCAGCTCAAGCTTCTTTTAAGCGCAGTTTTCGCGAGGGCCTTCCTAAAACGACGCGCGAAGTGCGTGGTACGGATGGAGAATACACTCAAGAGCCTTATCTCTCGCAACCAAGACCACGTGCTTCGACACGACGCGCGTTTTCACGAAGCCATCGCACTAACATCCAAAGAAAACGCCTCGAGCACGATGCTTCCGGCACTCCGGCACCGCCGGATCATGCTCCATCGTGGTCTGTCGTGCTCAGTGTCTGCCTGCGAGAAGAACGATGCAGAGAAGCAACGCCCAAAAGCCGCAGCTCTGGCTTGGATCAGATAAGGTTCCTGCCTGGTTCTTCCACTTTCGCCTTCCTCTTCGTGTAGCGGCAAAGCAAACAAAAATAGTAATAATAATAATAAAATAAAAGAGAGGACGACGGATCAGCGAGTCGACCTCTGCCAGTCCTCCCTCCCTCCATCCTCGCGTCACGCGAATGCTTTCGCAAGGGGTCAGCTAGCACACTCTTTTCTCTTCTGCGCGTGTCAGAAAACTTCACGCTGATAACGTCCGGGTTTTCCTTTTTGTGCTTTGTTTGCTGAGCCGCCGTTGGATCGGCCCGTCTTTGCCGCTGCTGCCGTCGCCGTTGCTCGCCGCTGCTCCACTCCCCCCTTTGTTGTTTCTCCTGACCGCCTCGTCTTCTCCGCGAAGGTCTTCTCGTCGTCCCGCGTGTACGACTCGAGATCAGTTTCTTGACGTCGCGTCTTCTGCGCGGGAAGATTGCGTGGGAGACGCTCCCGCGTTGCGTGTAGTGGAACGATCTTCACGCCAAAGTTGCGCTCGATTACTGACGTGTGTACAACGAGAAACAGTTATCAGGGTTGTGATTGATTCGGGTATTTGAAACTCCGACGTACCCAACGCCATGTATAATCGCTGACAAAATTAGAACGGCAGGGGTGGGTCTCAGTTGATCCGTCTACAGCTCTAGCTTCCAACATTGGTCGTTCTGCAGGCGTCCCGTCTGCTTCGAGCGTGCGTGTGCAGCCAGAGCACATTGGAAGGCAATGAGCGCGTGCTGGAGGCGGGGCATTTGATAGAGGTGCCCTGCCGTTCTCAATTTTCCAGTTATTCTGTCTCTTTCAATCTTTGTGTTTTTCTTTTATTTTAGTGCACTCTACTATTTCTCACAGGGAAGGAAGAATAGAACGGGAGGACAGAGGAGTCACGCTGGGTAATTGTCCCGGCCGACTGCTCCATCCTGGGGGAGAGTGATGAGGATACTAAGGAAAAAAGTTGATACATGAACAGTAAAGAATACTACACGTGAAGGTTCCGAAACGCAGGGTGTTCACACCTCTTGCATCGCGATCCGTTCTTTGGCTTTCTTATCAACATATGCCGCAAGGTCACTGACTGCGAATCGATAATGAGATCTTCGCGACCGACCACGGCCCGCGTTTCTCAAGGTGCCAGTGATTAAAACCGAAACCATCTGGAATAATCCAAGACTGTAAACAGCCTCCTCTACCTTCACGTAATATCGTCACATTAGGAGAGTGACACCTCTGCAAACCGCCCCGAGCTTGACGCCGAGCGTCCTTCGGCAAACTGCCTGGACACGAGGATCAGCAGAACGTCTACTCAGCACTTGTGTTCAATTTGTACGTGCCCTCGATCTCATTGAAATGCCGTCAAAATTCCTTGTGCACGGATTTGATTTTCCTGTTGGTCTTGCTATAGTTTACCGTGAAGCTCAGAAAGCAGCGGAAACTACGCGCTGGTAGGATCAGTCAGTA